GATATGTATTAGACATTGTATATAGAGGGCAGGATATGTATTAGACATTGTATAGAGAGGGCAGGATATGTATTAGTCATTGTATAGAGAGGGCAGGATATGTATTAGACATTGTATATAGAGGGCAGGATATGTATTAGTCATTGTATATGGAGTGCAGGATATGTATTAGTCATTGTATAGAGAGGGCAGGATATGTATTAGTCATTGTATATGGAGTGCAGGATATGTATTAGTCATTGTATAGAGAAGGCAGGGTATGTATTAGACATTGTATATAGAGGGCAGGATATGTATTAGAAATTGTATATGGAGTGCAGGATATGTATTAGTCATTGTATATAGAGGGCAGGATATGACAAAAACAGAGTCGATTAGGGTGTTATGAGAAAGACAGGTGGGAAAATTAGTAATTATGGAACATACAGTTCTTTATGACTGAACATTGTCAGGATAGAAGGAAGGGAGAAGGGATAAGAAGGGAGGATGGAAAGAAAATGGGAGAAAGATGGGAGGGTTAAGAGGATAGAGGGGAGGAAATGGAAGAGCTTTGGAAATGAAAAATAAGATAAAGGGGAGAAAAGAAACAACAGGAAAGGAATATTAAGAGAAAGAGTTAAAGCAATAAACAGCTATACATACAGGCATCCTAAAACAGGCCTGGTATTTCCGCAGCGCCATGTCCACCTGTAGACCAGCCAAGTCAATCTCTTGAGCAAAGTAACTGTAAATAGAAACATACAGTACCACTGTTGATTATCAGTGTCTACTGGACACCCACCATCACCTCACTATACACCACCAAACTATGCAACAAATAGCAAGATTCCAGACAGAAAGTTTTAAATATCATGACAGTAGGCATCATATTTCTTTAAAAGTTACTTAATGAAACTAGAAAATCCCATTGAGACATGAATGGCCCTGTCCCTATATATTTAATATCATTTTCTATTTTCATAAACAGCAATAATGACCTTAGCTTTGACCTTGAAACCCTGAAATATAAAATCAGTCCTTTGACCTTTGTATATAGCTCGAAGTCAAGTTGAGAGATTGATGTCACTGAATTGATTAACAAATTTCTATAAATATAATTAAGTAACAGTGAACTTGGAACCCTGAAATACAAACCTATTCTGTGTATCCTTACCCTTGACACTTGTATAAAGTTCAATTTAAGTCTGTAAGGAAATGAAATCACTTCAGCATTGATATTCAATGGATGGGGAGGGATAAACATAGGTTACATACACTACATGATCAGGCATAAAATGGTGGGGGCTTCAAAATCAATAACAGATGGATGGTAGTTGCCAAGCCATGGCATAAGGTCATGCTAGGTAAGCTAAACAAACACAGGACAAATCAAAAGCCATAATTTGGAAGATAACACTAAAGAAAAATTTAATTTCAACTTGAGTTCAAATTGAAACGGCAAAACATGGAGTCTACTATTGACTTGAACAAGAACATTTCCTCAGCAACAAATGATGATTGAGCTTCAGAGTCCCTGGTGCTGATGATGCCACATGCTACTGTGATTCCACTCAGCAAATACAGTTCCTAGGTTGGAAAATCTTCAAATATTCAACATACAGGTTTGGAGCCCAAGCTTTTAACAATTTGTGTAATCAAAAGAAATTCCTGTCCAATTTGATATTTTGATTTTAGAAGTAAAATTAATAGGTGTTTATGTGATGGGAAAAAAAGTCAGATGCTTGCAGATTAGAATCAATATCACAGGGGAAGGAAGTAATCCAGTTAAATTGATCTTTCCCTTATTCCCCGAGAATCAAGAGTTTTCTCGGAGTACAGAACTTGAAATCTTGTGAAGAGTTGGATTGATCTAAGCTTTAGTCTCATAATGGGATAGGAAGGTCTATATATAGCCCGCCTCTGTTGATCTACTGTAATTGGTGATCCAAGTAGGGTGGTATGTTCAATAATTCACTGGCTCTGTATACAGTCTTTTGATGTACTTGGAAACTCAGGCTGCATTGATTGGGATAATACAAGATTCTGAATATTTAAGGTATACTAGATGCTGAGGGGTGTTTTATACAGTGGGGATCTACCCTTCCAAACCTGTCCTTATCTCTGGTACATACCGGGTATATCATAATTACTCTTATTGTTGAAACAAGAGGTACAATGGGCCTGCATTTTACCAATACTCAAGCAACCTTTGTTCCCAAGGGGCACTCTTACATTAACATAAATGTCCTTCATTCTTATCAAGGCAGTATAAACATTAACCCCCATTTCTCCTAATGAGCCAGCTGACCAAAATATTTTGCAAATTTTCCAAAAAGTTTAACATTTTGACAAAGTTTGAGTAATTTAGCCAAATAAACAGTTTTTGAGATGTAATGGCAACTTGCAGAAGAAGGTGATAAAATGAATCCTGAGCATGTCTTTTGACCTTGACCTACTTACTGAAGAACTTCCATGTTGAATTCGTTCTGAAGGTTCCCCAGGTATTCACCAATCATCTGTTTACTCAGTCCTTTCCGTGTGATCAGAAAGCGGGCTACCACATGTGGTGACTCGTCAATGAAGCCATACTCACACAGGAACTTGACGCCTTTCTCAGGTTTTCTGCAAACAGAGAAAAACGGAGTCAATAAATGTGAAAATGAAATTGAGAAGTTTATGTAGATTTTAAAGTTTAGTCTAAAATCTGACATTTTACAAGGCACAATAACTACAAAAACCTTCAAAAAACACCATCATAATAATATTTGGTTTTTAAATCCTAATGAACAAGCACATTAATGCCTAAATAACAATAGGGGAACAGGGGTGTCTGTTAATTAACAACACGTTGATTGTAACTCTAACTCCCAGTCCCTTCTGGGCTGACACCAGAATTTGTATGCCACTTACAACCCCCTCAGCTTTGTACAGAGGATTCAGCAAACCAATGAGGCCATGCTTACGAATAGCGTGTCATTACAGAAACAAGATGTACATAATAGCGTGTCATTACAGAAACAAGATGGACATAATGACTGACAAGACTGGTTAGAAAGAATAGCGTGTCATAACAGTAACAAGATGTACATAATGACTGACAAGACTGGTTAGTAAAAATAGCGGGTCATGACAGAAACAAGATGGACATAATGACTGACAAGACTGGTTAGTAAAAATAGCGGGTCATGACAGAAACAAGATGGACATAATGACTGACAAGACTGGTTAGAAAGAATAGCGTGTCATTACAGAAACAAGATGTACATACTAGCGTGTCATTACAGAAACAAGATGTACATACTAGCGTGTCATTACAGAAACAAGATGTACATACTAGCGTGTCATTACAGAAACAAGATGTACATACTAGCGTGTCATTACAGAAACAAGATGTACATAATGACTGACAAGACTGGTTAGTAACAACGAAAAACAGATCAGAAAAACCTTATTAGAGATGGACATCTCGACAAATAGGTAAATTCTACCGATGATACAAAATAGTCCAACTGATGACTAGTAACAATATCACGACCATCTAATCAATGTGACAGTAACTTGAGAAGGTGCCATAAACGATACAAATTTTGTGTATGATAAAATACCTTGAATCTTGTCAACAGTACTTTAGCATAGTGACGAAATGAGAAGGACAACATTAAACACAGGATGAATATAGACTTTACCAGCATGGGGTGAAAGTGTCCCTGATACACAGAGTATCACTCCAGCAACTTTACTCTCATGAGAAACAATTTCACATCTAAACCTATTTCTATGAATGAGTTCTTGGGGAGAGTTATAAAGTATCCGGGTAATACAGTTTTTTTATTAGTGTAATTAATTATTCATGCATGTCCATGCACTTTACAGCATTTAATTCTAACAGTGATCAGAGTTCATCAATGGAGGGTAAATTAATGTTCTGTCCCTTTGGGAGCATTGAAAACTTATCTATGAATTTTCATGAAACATCTCTTGTAATAAAAACATTAAATTTCTGACCTTGACCTTAAAGATATGGTCCCAAAAAGAGAAAATGCACTTACTTGTTGAAGAGATTTAATCCGATTCTGTAGGTACGTTTTCTGTGTTTGTCGGCAGTCTTTGGCATCACATGTTGATGATCGGGAGTCATACTGAGTCTCATACGTTTCTGATAACCTACATTGCTGTCACCACCCAGACTCACATTTTCCGAACTTGGCGAACTAGAACATCGTCCATCGAGTGAATCTGCTTCACTCATTTCTGATATGTTACTCATACGTTTTGGTTCGAGTGTTTTTTGTGGCGGGGTTACGGCACCAGGTCCCCCGTTCGTAGCACATTTTCGTTTCCATATTGGAGACGCTTCTGGAGCCCGTGCGGGCACCACGGGTGGTTTTTTAGCACTTCCCTCATTTTTACCCCGCATTTTGACTTCTTGGTTCATATAATACTTTAATGTCTGGTCCGCCATTTGTTTCTGTTCCTGTGTTCGAATTCCGTCTGGTGACAACTGTTCTACTTTGATCTGAATGTCACCTTGACTACCAAGCGACCCTGAGTCAGAATAATTGGTTCGAAAGTTTTCATAAGAAGCACTACGACTTTTAGCACTATCGTAGGTGTCGGTACTTGTGTTGGAGTACAATGATGAGGTGGAAGGCTTTTGGGAAATTCCTAAATTTGACGCTAAATCCGGATGTAACATTGGTTCACTATGGACACTGTGAATGGCACCATCACTTTGAAAACTGTCCACTAATATATCCGTCTCCTTACCCTCTAACAGCGTCTCAAAGTGAAAACTATGTAGATCAACTGAGTTCTGGGGAGACTCACTGTTACTACTGTCATTCATCTCCGGATACGAATTCCGATTATTGTTTGTCTCATCCTTAAGATGTGATTTCTCCTCCTGTGGTATATCGGGCTGATCCAAAACCTCTGTACACCGTTCCAAACGTTTACGATCCTTTCTGGGTAGTTTCACTCGATTTGGATCGAATTTCATATTTGGATCTAGAGACATTTGATGTTTCATTTTCTGATGTTCCCTGTATCCTGTTGCATCGTAATTTGATATGTACTTACCGCCTGGTTCCTGGTTGGTGTCCGTGTGTCTCTGTATATCACCGTTATTTTGTATTAACGTAGCACCCATACTGCTGTTATAATGACTATCAGCACTAATTCTGTCTGTCCATATTGTGTTACTGCGACCTAGTTCTGAGAGACGCTTCGATAACCTTCGCTCACCTACAGCTATCCTCAGTTTCTCAAAGTTTCTATTCATACAATACTGCCTGAAAGCCCTCTGAATAGTTTTTGCGGCACGCCGAGATCTTATAGAACCTCCGTATTTCCTTTCTAACATCTCCACCTGTTTCTCCTGGAGGTCCTGTGACAGTTCATACGCTACCGACTGTGATCTTGACTTTTTCACCTCATCCTCTGTTCTCCGTAATGATCGTTGTCGTTGACAACGGTTGCCCTGTGTAATGTTCCCTCCCTGATTCACAAGCTTGCTAGTCCTTGGAGACTCCAGCGGTGACCCGCCTACTGACCTAGACCGTGACTTCTGTCTCAGGAGGTCATCACCGTTCCTCGAGGTTGTGACACTGAAAATATACAATAGATCTCATGAAAATCAAATTTAAAAAAATCAATTCAATCACATAATACTAAAATTGTCCAATTGTAATATTCCTATCGAATAACGACAAATTAAATTGTACGACCCGTATCAAATAACTACGTAATAAATTTTCATAATCAATTTTTTAACTGGACTTAATTATTCCTCTAAAAATCTTTATTTAAGATCACCTATGCCATTCTGATTTCTAAGTAATACATGACCAATAATGAATGTAGGAACATTCCCTAAGTACCAAAAAGTGTACAGAATTTGAAAGCTTTGAGATGTGAATCTAACTTCTGCTTTAGTTTAAGATTCAGACATAGATGGTACACACCCCTCACAACATCAGCCTGCAACGTGTTTTAAAATGTCTGTATACAATTTCTTCAGATAAATCTTAAAAATTCTACTTGGCATATAACACATACACAAGAGATTGTCTTTCTCTCTTTTATACATTACTAATATACATATATCCCTCATTTCCTCCAATTAATTTTGCTGAAAAACAGCAATGTCAGACTTGATTTTAGCATGAACTGTTTTTTTCAAAGCTTCACAGATCCATCTCAAAATACCTTTCTTGCATCACTTAAAAAATTAAACTGTTGACAGACAACAAATGATAGACAATGAAATGGAACAGCCTTATAATATACCTAGCTCACATTGATCCATGGAACAGCCTTATAATATACCGAGCTCACATTGATCAAGGTTAGCTCGGTAACAAAAACTTTTACTTCAAAGAAGTTAACAGAATGTTATACTCATGTGACTGGACAATTTACCCTTTTTTCTTCATAATTGTTACATTCAAAATATTGTGTCAGGATCATGACATTTAGGAAATTCACACAGATCTGAAGTAAAAATTCAAGGTAAAGATGACTGAACAACATCAACATGCAGGTAATCGGCAATTCTTATTACAATGTGGACATGACGTTTTAACACACTAGGCGTGCTGTCATGAGAACGGAATTTACAATTCAAAACAGGTCTAAAGTAAAGAAAGCGGTGCCTCTGTTTGGCAGCAATCACAAGATCTCAAGTTCACAAAAATTTGTATAAAAAGCAACAGACAATGAACAGAGAAACATCATCTTTTGACACTGCCATTAATCTGTATTAAAATTTACAAAATTCTCATAAACTAAATGTGCATACCCAAGGAAAGCTAAAAAAAAAATAAACATCTGCTTGATGAAAACATTTATGATAAAAGATGGACAAACATATCTTACTGATGTCAGACTTTTGAGGTTTTCCATTTCCCCGATAGGGTATATAGAAAATCCTGGACTCTACCAATTACCTCCTAGACTCTAACAGAAGAAAAACTCAGACTCTGACCGGAGGAAAATCCTGGACTCTACTAATACCTCCTAGACTCTACCAGGAGGAAACTCCTGGACTCTACTATTACCTCCTAGACTCTACCAGGAGCCCATTATTGGTTACCTCATACAATCATGCAGTGGGATACAGTAAACCTCTTACTCTCCACCAATCACAATACAGTCCTCTTACTCTGCACCAATCACAATACAGTCCTCTTACTCTCCACCAATCACAATACAGTCCTCTTACTCTCCACCAATCACAATACAGTCTTCTTACTCTCCACCAATCACAATACAGTCCTCTTACTCTCCACCAATCAAAATACAGTCTATTTCCTGTAGTATCTTCTCATTTCGTTCAATATGAATAAAGTCATATTTGCATCAACCATCATTTTTCTCCTGAACAATTAAGGTTTATTATAGCCATAGAACTTCACAATTTCTATACTAATTTTAAATCATGTCGGGGAAGGAAAGTTTAGATTCATCTTTTAGGTTTCAGAAGGATACCTAGTGGAATACTTTAGGTATTAAGGTTTCTTACATATAGGTATTAAGTTTAACACAAGATAAGACGCTGAATTAACTGGAATTATGACACACACATACCTTTATAATAAATCAATCATTTCAACTTGTCCTAAAATAAACATTTGTAGATAATCACCTAACCTCATTGATTCTCAAAGGTCTATAACCTTTAAAAAGACAAGGGGGAACCTGCTGTCACTAATTTTAAACTTGGAGTGTCCTATTACAATGAAATGGTCCAACCTATTGTAGTTTTGATGGATGCTTGCACATGTCCCAGGATTGATTTTTCTCCCCGCAATACGACAGGCTGTCCCAGTATTCCAACAGTAAGGGAAGAAGCGTCAGTCAGCAGTCTGTACGTGTATATATATTGATCAGAACAACCTGTACTACACAGCTCACTGAGTCAATATCATCCCATCTCCCTCGGGTGTATTAATAGATCCTTACCAGCTTTTATTTATATCATGAATGAAAAAAGTAATACAATCATCATTGAGGGGTGCTTGTACAACCAGTTACATTGCAAGGCCCTAACATCACCAAAATTTACCAGTCAGAGGCCAAGTATCACTAAAAATTCCCAATCACAAGCTTAATATAGCCAACTATTACAAATCACAGACTTAATATAGCCAACTATTACAAATCACAGGCTTAATATAGCCAACTATTACAAATCACAGGCTTAATATAGCCAACTATTACAAATCACAGGCTTAATATAGCCAACTATTACAAATCACAGGCTTAATATAGCCAACTATTACAAATCACAGGCTTAATATAGCCAACTATTACAAATCACAGGCTTAATATAGCCAACTATTACAAATCACAGACTTAATATAGCCAACTATTACAAATCACAGGCTTAATATAGCCAACTATTACCAATCACAGACTATATATAGCCAACTATTACCAATCACAGACTAAATATATCCAACTATTATCAATCACAGGCTAAATATAGCCAACTATTACCAACCACAGGTAGCAGTGTACAGTAGAGGGTTGTGGCCATGGGTGATATTTTTGTTAAATGACTAACCCCTGTATAATGATATGTAAAAAAAAATATAAAAATAAAACTGTACTAAAATTGGTATAAGCATGATGAAGTGGGCTATGTGAGCTTCACATTTGTAAAAAAGAAAGAAGATTTCTTTGGTTCGAGAATAAAATTTTGGCCATAATACGAAAGGGTGCGTACACATGAAAAGCTAGCTTTACAGGAGGTAAAA